GCCGCCAAAGGCCACATCCGAATCCAGAAGCAGGTTTGGATTAAAATTAAGGAGCTGTGGCAGGCCTATGCCAGGGCCACAGGGGGCAGCTCCCAACCAGGGGCAGACCCAGAAAGCTGCCCCTATTTTGATGCCCTGGACCACATCCTGGGGGGCGGGACGGTCTGTGCCCCCCAGGTGGTCATTGACCCTGGGGCAGAGGGCCCTGATCAGGGCATGAAGGAGGAGGAGGAGGAGGGCCAGGAGCCGCAGGAGCCTGGAGGGAGCATGCTGCGCAGCTAGGCCCCCTGAGCCATCCCAGCGGACCTGTCACCGGTGTCATTCGGGGAGGCAACAACATGTGAGTGCCATCAGTGTCCCCTTATGGGAGAAAGGGGAAGGGACACCAGGGACCGTGCATGTGGGCCTTGCTGACCACGGATCATGTAGCCCCAGCTGGCTGCTACACAGGGGCCTTGGCCTGTTAGCCACATGCGTGTATGAAAAGACATGACATGCTCCTGACCCTGGGGTGGGACACAGCAGGACACGCTCCCTCCACAAGCCCCCTCTACACAGAGGCAGGAAACATCTCCTCCCCCTACACACACACACACACACACTATATACAGCACAGGGGCATGGGTGCAGTCCCAGGGCAGCTCCCTATCCCGGGGATAACAGGCCATCCCGACAAGGCCTCTGTGCAAGCACATCAACTCTGATGGTGCGGAGAACTGTCGTCCTCGCCTTGCAGAATGGGGCTGGGCTTCACCCCCTGTGTCCCCAGGGAAAACTGACCACTTCTCTTGTTTCTCCACAGCCGCACCAGCTGCGAGTGCAGGGTGCACCACACCACCTGGGACATCCTCTCACACCCAAGGCCCACCCGTGCAGTGGAGGGGTACCAGCCGGGTACCTGGGGGCACTGCGAGCCCTGCACTGCACCCTCCACCACTGGGTGCAGGAGGACCTGCAGCTCCAGCAGAAGCAGCTTGCCCAGAGCCTTGCCATCTGCGAACACCTGCAGGCTCTGCGGTAGAATGAGCTGCCTTGTGCCGCCCCAGCGCCTGCTGCCCCCTCAGCTTCTGTTCCTTCTCCCACTCCTGCTTCCCCCTCCTGCCTCACCCTCCACACCCTTCTCCCCATTCCCCTGGGGACACCAAGGCCCCCTCACGCGCAGTGCAGGGAGATGGTGGGCCCGGCGAGACCCCCACCCCTGAGCACTAAGCTTCCCCTCCCCCTTCTTCCCCCTTCCAGCTCTCTCCAAGTTTTCCCCTGGTGCTGGGAGACAGTTGGGCCAGTGAGACCCCCAACCCTGAGCTTCTCCTCTCCCTTCCTCCCCTTGCCTCCCCCTGCCAGCTCCCTCCTCCCAGCTTTCCCCCTCCCCTCTCCCACTCTGCTTCCTCCCCTCTCCCACCTTCTTTCCCCAGTCTCATTACTTCAGTTTCATTCCCCCGCCCCCACCCCAGTTTTGTTCAATAAAGAGACTTTGATGTAATGAACACGTGTCTTTTATTGTACAGCAGGAAGGGGGGTTAGAGAAGGGTAAGTGGAAGGATGTGAGGGAGGAATGAGGCACAAGCCCCCAGTGGGGCACACCAGGGAGACTGTTATTGCCTGCAGAATGTGCTGCCGGGCTCACAGCAACACGTCCAGGAGAAGCACCAGAGTGCCCAGGAGCAGCTCTGGCTCCATGCTGCAGAGGACTGTTGTGTCCTGAGTGAGGGCAACCAGAGCACGCAGAGAAAAAAATGCTTTGCTGTCCCTCAGGGTACGTCTACACTAGCTCATTAGTTCGAGCTAGGCAGGGTAATTAGGGCAAGCGGAGTTGAAATGATGCCCAGGCTACACGTGGCACGGAGTAGGTAGTTCGAATTAAAGATCCTAATTCGACTACCGTTACTCCTCACGGTAACACAAGGTAACTCCTGACCTGATGCCCTGTCAGAACCAGTTCTGGCCAGCCTTAAATGTGATTCAGCATCCAATCAGTGTGGACGCGCTAATGCGAAATAGCATTTTGTGTCTAGACGCGTTATTTTGAAATAAGATATTTCGAAATAATGCTGTAGTCTAGACATACCCTAAGGGTTAATATCTTTTTAGAAATTAAACTGAATATCTTTTAATATCTTTTTAGAAGTTGTGAAAGGCTTTGTGGCAAAATCTTCAGTTGGTAACAGCCAACCAAGGTAAAAATATGTGACACAGTGCTTCGTGAGATCTAAAACTAGATCAAAAAATGCAACACCCAGCCAAACTGGCACCCTGATCAAGGAAACAGAAAGCATTGTACCCAACCTCAGGTTCCCGCTTTTTCCACTTCAGAGAACTGGTCCAAGAGGGACATGGAATGATCTTATTCATGCATATTCAAAAGATGTCCCAATAGCACCATCCAATCAAGTATGTGTTCCCACAAAATATCAGGGTGGGGAAATCTGTTTCTGGACTTAAGGGGCTGGGTTACTGATGACGCAAAGAGGCCTACAAAATGCTATGGCAATAGCTGGGAATAGAAAATCTTCCTCATCAAGCATTTCCCTCCTTCACATCCCTCAAAGCTCTTTGCTTCACTTACTTATTCTTTCTAAGGGTGCGTCTAGACTGTATTGCTCTTTCAGGATACCAGAAGTATCCCAAAATAGCAACACCACGTCTTTAAAAGCACCCACTATCTCCTGAAATAGCAGGCATGCTATTCCATCTTCCCTGTAACCCTCATTCCTAGAGGGTTAAGGGATTTGTCAGAATAGTACCTTATTTCAAAATAAGCTCTTATTTCAAAATAAGCTCTTTCCATAGCACAAATTGCGTAGCTTATTCCAACAGAAGGGTGCTGTCTAGATACACCCTACGTTTCTCTGCTTCTAAGTGTCCCAAACTTCACCTTTCACTGAGATCCAAGTTCAACCAGTGGAGGGAGGCTGACCCTTCTAATTCCTGGAAGAGGGTATGCAGAGATCCAAGTTCAACCAGTGGAGGGAGGGAGGCTGACCCTTCCAATTCCTGGAAGAGGGTATGCGAGTATGGTACTACACTAGGTAGTTATATCTGTATACTTAGATCACTACTACTATAGAGCCAGACTTTGTTAATGCTACCCTCTGGGGTGATTGAATCAATTTGTGTGATCGGTGCTGTGTGTTTTGTATTGTTTTCCATCCTAATACCAGTCATAATAAAAATTGTTTTAATTTGGTACTATCCACATTGTAAGTGTGACTGCTGTTGTGAGTCCCCAAATTTGCCTCCATAAATAGAGCTTCAGAGCGCTCAACCTCTGTGACCTAGGGTAGGAGGACAGACCTAAAAACTTCTAGTCAGGTTAGACAAGCCATACCCATATCAGTTATCTTACTCTTCACCTCTGGGCTACAGTAGGGAGCAAGGCAAGTGTATGCCCAGAATAAGGAAAACAAAGCAGTATGTGGGGCCATCATTTCCCTATCTACAGTATATCCATGCTCATGTGCCATCACACAAAAAGCCTCACCATGCCATATGGAATCAGCTCCATGCTGAGCACATTTTCCTCTCCAGAAGAAATGTTGCCTCAGTCAATAGACTCTGGGATAAGGATTTTCAAACCTGGATGCTTAGAGCTATTGCTTCTGAAGCCATGTTTAAGCACTTAAATCAGTGACCTGTTTTTTTTAAGTGCCAAGCACCCAAGAGCTCCCATTGACATAAAAAAGAACTCTGGAATACTCAGCATTTTTGAAAATCAGGTCATTGATTTCATTGCTAAATATGGATTTAGAAACATAGCTTTAAGCACCCTATTTCAAAAATCTTAGCGTACACTAGTACAGAAACAAACAATATTGTGCTACATTACAGCAAAACAGCGTAAGGAAAAGGGAAGGTTAAAATCACACAGTGTGTGTTTACAAAGAAATATGCTTCCAAATTCCACCAATATATTGACATACACACAAACTTGAGGTTGACAGAGAAATACAACCAGTATCTCTTCTTGGGGGTTGGAATCCTGGCAAAATCAAGCAGGAGAGCACTTTGTAATTAATATTAAAGATAGACTGTGGAGATGCTTATGAATACTTAATTTATATAATGAATAATTATGACATGGCTATGTATGGGAAATGAAGACATAAGTGAAAGCAATAGAACATAAGTGGAACTTTTTGATTGATTTGTAATTAAGACAGTCAGATATAACAACAAAGCATCGCCTGCATAGTATCTATGGTTTATTTTTTATTTTAAAATGGAATTTCTTTTCATCAGTAAGACACTACAGGCAGAGTATTTTAGGACAATTAGTGGACTTATGGAGTGGTCTTTAATTTGATGCTCACATGGATGAGCTATGATCACCTAGGAGTGTGCTGTATTTCTTAGAGAAAAAACAGGCACCAGGAGCAGATGGGGTAAACAGACTACTTTATTGCTGATGCACGTTTACCTTGGACCCCCAACACAGTGTTCCGAGTGGCAATGATTTGGCACCAGTTACACTCCTTTATCCATTTTAGTATGTTAATTCACACATCTATCACTACTCTCCCTAAATCATTATTTTGCAAAGATAATTCCCATATGATGAATATTAATAAGCAGGTGATGAATACAATTATACCCTCCCCTGTTTATTGTTTACTGGTTTTTAGTTAAATCAGCGTTACATACTGTCTTAATCAGCAGTTTACAGGGTGGTGAGGAAAAAGCTCTGACCCCAAAAGTGTTTTTACAGAGCAAGTAATGAGACTAAACAATGACACTGCTCAGTGTAACTATCTTTCTAGGCTGCAAAGACAAAGGGGGAAAACATGCTTAGAGGGCAATGCCTGCGGTGGCTGGATCCTTTAACCACTAATGTATAGAAATCCCAGACCACTATTAATTTTTACAGATCCCAACAGTGTTATCACTGATTTTTTTCAAAAAATATATTTACACAAAAATATATTACTTTCATTATATTCGTAGGACCTCAGAAGTCATCGTATTATTGTACAGCCATAATACATACAGAATTGTTGTGTATGAATTATTGTTTGGAAAAAGTCATGCTTAGTTTATTGAATGTGTACCATTCAATGAATCTATTCAAGTGTAGTTTATACAATAGAGGAAAAAGTGAACATCCATTCTTCAACTCTTAAGTCTTTTTTAGAAAGTCCTTCTTGTTCATTTGTTTGTATAAAAGAGAGCCCGCGGGAAACCCCAGAGACGCATCCTACTTACACCTCCATCAGGAACAATAATCAGTCTCACATGAGTGATCACATTCTGCATTTGCAGGGTAGTACCATCAAAGAAATGCCTCTTGTTAGGCTTAAGCTAGAAGAAAAATGTAAGGTAAAATAGACATACTTAAATACTACATTTTAACAGAATATTTTTTACATATAGACAGAAGGGTGTATATGTCCACTAAAATTTTAGCTACAGATAGAATAGATGAAATTCAGATACACAGTGAAGTTACACTATTCAAGACTCCAAAATAATGTTTGTTATTTGACATACTCAGGCTCACCAACATGGGGGAAGGGCTAAAGGGATACGTGCCCCAGGAGCTGGGGGATTTAAAAGGGCCCAGAGCCCTTGGCAATGCAGTAAGACTAAGGAAGATTTCCTGACCACCCTCACTCTGTGCTGCTCCAGAAAGTGGCTCACACCATCCTTGTGGCCCCTGAGAGTGAATCTCCATATACTTACCTCTCCCCAAGTGCTGACTCTGCAACTCCCATTGGCTGGGAACTGTGGACAATGGGAGCTGCAGGGTTGTGCTTGTGGGCAATAGCATGCAGAGACCCACAGCACCTCCACCTAGGAACCACTGCCAGACGGGTATGCCAGTCGCACTTGGGAACCACCGAAGGTAAGTATCAACTGCCTCATGCACCCCAACCCCTTGCCCCAGTCCAGAGCCAGCACTCCCTCCCAAAGTCTTCACTCTGCACCGTCTCTCGTATCTGAACTCCCACCCACTCGCATTGCTTCTGCTTAGAGCCTGCACCCAAACGCCCTCCCAGAGCCCGACTCTTCACTCCCTCCCACACTCCAACTCCCTGCCTTTTCCTGGTGAAAGTGAATGTGGGTGGGGGAAAGTGAGCAACAGAGGGAGGGGGGATGGAGTGAGCGGGGTCAGAGAAGGAGTGGTATAGGGCATGGCCACAGGGAAGGTGCAGGACAAGGGTTTTTGGGGTTGCGTGATTAGACAGTTGGCAACCCTACCAGGTGGGCATGTGGAAGTCCTGCCATGCCAGAAGATCGTGCCGAGCAGTGCAACTGGCAGTTCACTGGGCACCAGCCAGCATAGGTGTAGCACTGTGCAAATGTCAGGTAGACCATGTCCATGCAGGTGCAGATGGGGCAGGGGGGCATTAACTGTTCTGCACTTGAACCCAGAATTGCTGTCAGTGGGCCTGGATATACTGTATAATGCTTCTCCAACCCCCAAGAAGATGAAAAGAAACAGGTTGTTGAGAACAAGGACTGTGCCCACTTTTGCTTACTATACTGTATAGTTTTCCCCTGGTAGTGTTTGGAAATCGATCTACTCATATACAAATCTACAAACACTTTTTAAAAGCATTTATTTCAATACAGCCAATAGGCTATAGGCTAATAGTCCACAGTGCTCATGTGATCTAGAAATAAAAGGCTTACCTTTGTAGCAGAAAGCAAAGGGCTCCATTTTGGATTCTGTTTAAAGTTCCATTTTTGTGCTATACAATTTTTTTCTTCTTGTGTGTTCAGAACACAGGCCTCAAGTTTGCAAGTATCTGGAAAGTTACCTGATTGCAAACAGCAACGTGCTTTTGTACATTATCACATTATAAGTATTTTCTTAAAATAGAGTTAATTTATACAATAAATTTAGACTTTCAGACCTGAAACACAGAGTAATGAATTTCACAAAACACAGATTTAATTCTGTAAGTTTACACTAAACGTATGGCTTAAAAAATAAGAAGATTTGGACAAATAATTAAAAAGCTATTTACACATTTTAATTGTTAAAAAGCACGATGCTTGTATTAATTTAAATATTAGTGAATTATACACTTATCTCCATCATCAGGACCAATCATGGAAATTGTCCACTGAATAATTTATTCCATAAATTTTCCATTCATCATATTGTATTTGTTGAATACAACAATTTTTCTACAAATATCTGAAGCCTATTGCTTGAAAAAAATATGGTTTGAATCTTTGCAAGAATTGACATAAAGGGCTCAGATTCTCCAGTCTAGTCACTCTGCTTTACTCCAGACTTAAACCCAGTGTGTGACTTCAATGGAATCAGGATTTTAATGACAAAATTCCCATGGTCTTCAATGGAGCCAACATGTCACTGAGTGAATGTCTTCAAAGATTCTCCCAGTATTGAGGAATCCTTCTCTGACTTAGGGAAGCTATATTGGCTTATATGCTGCCTCAGTCGTGGTACAGATGTGCCCACAGAAGGCACATCTGAGGTGCACCAAGCTCAGCTAATCAACTGCTAAGCCACCTTAATTCCACAGTGGCTCAGTAACCTATGATCCTGACCAATATATCTACTGTACAACATTATGTTTTTTGTATGATCAGTAAAATACAAGAGACAAAAAAGGAGCATTTCTTTTACCTTTAAAGTGATGAGTGTCTATTTCAATGTGAGTTATTACACAAGCATGTGCCAGCCGGAAAACTGCCCATTCACTCCCTGACATGAGGAGGATACCTTTGTCATCAGCCTGAAAAAAGAGGGAAAAGCCTTTTACATGGTTTGGTGAATCATAAACATCAAAATGACAAAGGCAAGATATGGTACATTTTTACATTTATTATCTGAACTTAGTTTGTTAAAAATGCATTTTACTTTTTAAACTGTTGAATGAATCTCATGAAATGCAAGATTCCCACCTCCCTTCTAACAATGAGAATTTTTTCCTGCAAAGAACTATATTCTCCAGATACCTTCGCAGATTGGTTTAGTCATATTAAGATATGGAGTCTACAGATCAATAAAAATATAGTTCACTACAAGATTTACTCAGTGTTGCTTGGGTCCTTCAGGGCAGGGGGCTGAGGGTGTGGGGGTGGAGGAGTCATGGCAGGGGATTGGGGATGTGGGAGTGCTGGGTTATGGAAGAGGGTGGGAGTGCAGGAGTGAGGAAAGGGGTTTATGAGGTGTGTGGGGGGTTCAGGAGAGGGGATGGGGTGCAGCAGTTAGGGCAGGGGGGTGCAGGAATCAGGGCAGCAGGCTGGGAGATGTGGGAGACACAGAGGAGAGAAAGTGAAGTGCAGGAGTTAGGGCAGGGGTCAGAGGCTCAGGTCAAGGGGTAAGAGTGGCTGGCAGCTGCTCCCCGGGGCCAGCCTGATGCAGTGGGGGCTGTGCTGCCTGACCCGCTGACAGTGTTACTCCCCGGGGCAGGTCCTGAACCATGGGAGTCTCGCTGCTCAGCCAGCAGTTACTCTGTGGCTTTCTGTGGCTGTCAGGGGAGTAAGAGTGCTCTTGCTTCCTGCCCCCCTGTGGTCATTCTGGAATATAACTGTCCCTGCTACCACAGCCCTCCCTTTCCATTTGATGAGAAACAATCACATTCCATTGTCCTGGCACAAATAAACCCTGAGTTTGCTATCAGTTATCAGAAGAGGAAGCTACATACTAAATTTGGTGGTCCCAGCTCTTACAGTTTAGAAGGAGTTCTTGAACAAACAGCTTCATGGACAGATAGACAAAAACTTTCTCAAACATATAGTAGATTTAAAAGACAGAATTCATAAGAGATTTAGTATGTTTTATTATGGAAAGGCTATAAAATGCTTTCAGGTTTGCAGGTCAGCATTTGGATAATGTCTTTAAAAAAATAAATCATTTTTTTTTTAGTCTGAAAGCCAAAATCACCTTAATCTAAAAGTTTTAGTATACAAAAGTGAACTAAAGTAAACAAAGAGATCACTTTCAGATTGCAATTGCTAGCATTTCAATCATTCCACATATCACCGCACATGTAATTCTTATGATAAGCACCCAACCTACTTTCCATTATTTAGGCTCAATTATGCTTCTTGTCAAGTCAATGGAAAAACTCCCATTCACTGCAATGGATGCAGGATCAGGCCATTAATAATTTGCTCTCTTTAAACCTGCTTAGATCCTTTAATTTTATTATTGTATCTGTAAGAACCTGGGTTCCAAAGGTGATAGAGCTCTAGTAATAATAATCTGTCGCCTTAGTATAGTTCATTTCATTATCAAGAGAGGTTAAGAATCCAGACAGAGATGGTGAGAAAAAGGGAGACCTTATAGAGCCTAATAGCTTTGAACTAGACCTAGAGAATATAGTGCAATAGGAACAATATGAAAGGCTGCTATCTCCTGAGAACACACAATGTTCTTCAAGAAAAATGTCTTTTCAGATTTCTTTTAAATGTTCTCAAATTTCACTAACTCACACATACACAAATATATACCTCTTGAGGATTTAAAATTAAGTATTTATAGAAAAAAGAATTGTAAACAGATCTAGAAACAAAATCTTATTTATTCCTTATCTTATTTATTCCTTACTTTTAAAACTGGTGGCCGGTCCAGTCTTCTTGCTGTTTCCCAACCATCTTCCATGGAAGTTGCTCTTCCTAGCCCTGCAAAAATAGGTAACTGTATTTTTAGCTCAATATATTTCCAATACTTCAGCTAATCCATTCTGACATTTTCAAGGGATTAACATCTCCTATCTTTATACCTTAAACTAGTGATTTGAAAATTAGAAGATGCTGGTCTTTTTCCTTACTCTTTTCCATCCCTCTCTGTGCCCTCTTCTGCAGACACAGGTGCTTCTAATCTTTTTTCTTCTTGCTTACCTGAAGGCATTCCTCTCTCCTTATTTCTTCTCCCTCATTTTCCAATATAACTTCCAGCCCTTCCCTTTCAGTCTGTATTTACAACTTTGTTCAACTATCCAGCCACCAACCCAAGCTGCCCCTGAGTTCCAAGCCTAGCTCTCAGCCTCTCCCCTCAGCAGCAACTGACCCCAACCTTCATGCGCTCCCTGGCTCAGCCTATTTATGTTTTACTTTCTTCTCTCATTAGCTCATCCGGCTTTGGCTTCCTACAAGTGCAAGTTATCCCTTCTATCCTTTCAAAACTATGTCTCTCCTACTCTGGGGGCTTGTATACACTATAGATCGTAGCAGTATAACTTATGAAGGCTATACTGATGTAAGTACCAGTATGGACAGTGCTACGCCAGTGGGAGAGCTTCTCCCATTGACACAACTATTCCTCTCATGCAGGTGGTTTTATTATACTAATGAAAGAGCTCTCTCCTGTCTGCATAAAGTGTCTTCACCATGTGTGCTACCACTGCATCGGTGCTCAATTCAATTCCTTGGTGTCTGTTGAGACTACCAGTGGTTATGGACTTTATAATGTTGACACTTCTCCAGGGAGACATAGACTGAGATCATCAAAAGAGAGGACAGATCATATCCCCCAAGAGACAGGACTATGTAGCACTTTAAAGACTAACAAGATGGTTTATTAGTCTTTAAAGTGCTACATAGTCCTGTTTTTTGTTCCAGTTACACCAGACTAACACAGCTACATTTCTATCTCTATCCCCCAAGAGCAACATGTGAAAAAGTCCTCCACCCATGAATCTCCCTTTTCCATGTTGAAAGAAGGCTCTGGTACCTCCAAAGCACCATTTCTTCTTTTCCCCTGACTTTCCAGACCCCCTCTCCACATGATCTGGGATCGCTGAGAGAAGGGGTGTGGAATTTGGACAGACCAGTGATGGAAATATTACAATCTGCCCCAGCCCAGTAATATTTCATTGGAAAAGTTAATACAGCCCCAGACTATTTACTGTTTTACAGAACCTCCTCATCTTTCATTCCAGACCACCCTGGAGTCCCTGCAAGTCACTTGAGGCCAATGTGGAATCTCTGGTATATGGCTCCAGTGGAATCTCACTGCCAGGGAGGTGCAGAGTACATGGGAAGAGTACACCTGGGAGTTCAGAACCTCTATACGGATGTATCTCACAGATCCCAAGGTAGCTGCCATGTTTGGGACAGCTTTTCTATGGCGAAAGGAATAAAACCCTATTCTATACATGCTACAGGGGAATGCCCCTGTTGAAATCCTTGCAGTTTCGTTTTTTTTAAAAGTCCTTTTCCAAAGTTTTTGCCACTGGAGAAAATAATCTGGGTTCTGGCTACAGAATGAGCCATGGCCTAAAAGTGATATCCTTGTTTACAGATGGAATTAGACATCATGGTCTATATGGAAGATCTTCCCTACCATAAATTAAGTTAGCAAAACAAATTTATTGAATTGGTAGGCTCATATAGCTATGCAAGTAGGACCGAGACCTGCAGCTTATCTGAGTTTTGTTTGAGAAAAGATCATAATTCAGTAAATTCTACTTTACAGCACAGAGAGTTAAAGACGGTGTTAATCTGTAATTTTTTTTAAAAAATTAAAAACAAGTGATCCACTAACATCTTAGCCCTGGTCTACACTAGGCAGTTATTTCAAAATAAACCTCCTTCTTTCGAAATAATAAGCGGAGCATCCATACTACCATGCCCATTATTTCAAAATAACAGGCTGGTTATTTCAAAATTTGTACTCTTGCTTTCCTTGGGGAATAATCTTATTTTGAAATAGTTATTATTCCAAAATAAGTTATTTTGAAATCATTTTCTAATGTATACATGCCCTTAGACACTAACAAAAAATATATAGATAGTATCATGAGCTTTTGTGGGCACAACCAAATTCTTCAGATTATGAGAAAAGAGCAAAAATTGCTCTTTTTCAGCTTTAAATTTATGGAGTTTCTGTGTCCCCCTGCGCCTCTTGCTCCACTCATCTGAAGTTGGTTGTGCCCATGAAACTCATGATACTATCCATATATTTTTGTTAGTCTCTAAGGTACCACAGGAGCACTCGTTTTACAATTTTTTAAATTACAAACTAACACGACTACCCCCTAATGATTTTATGCTGTGAATACAGTTTACTTTTAGTATTTAAGAACAGAAACAAGAATGCCTTTAGCTTACCTAGAATATTTCTTGGGTGGCCTAACTGAGCACTGCTAAATCCAACACAAACACCTCCATTCTTCATTGCCACCAAGTCATCCAAGTCATTAGGACCAGAAGCGGACCAGTCTCTCTGCACAATACCATACACTTTGAAACGTGCAATCCCACCATCTGTCAAAAATAGAATTACAGTGGATGATTTTCTCTTTAAGAATGAATAGAACCATGAAGACCATGCTTATCCATAGTCAGAAACAATGTATAGCATAAACGGCAAGTGCAAACTGTACATTCCTGATAATCCACAGACTTTGGGATGAAAGAAAAGACCCTGAGTTTCAGTGTGAAAGCTGATTTTCACAGAGAGGTTCTGTAGTTTATTATGGCATGAATAAACAGCAAGATTGGTAGAATACCCATTCCATGGGTCAGCAAACTAATAATCCACAATGCAGTAGTATCTGAGAATACTGTACATCTCCTTAAACCACAATGTAGCATTTTAGTTTATAAAATTCACACTGAAAATCAAAGGGCAAAACTGATAAAAACATCAAACAAGCTTTAGAACAACACCATGCTGTATATATTTGTGCATCTAGGTTTTCTTGGTCCTGCCTAAGTGTGGTGGGGATGGATTAGATGATCTCTTGAGATGCCTTCCAGCCTTTCATTTCTATGATTGCTCCAAAGATACTTTTAGGAGTATGCCTTTTCATGAGCATATCAGAAATTTGTTAAAAAGCCAAAGTATTATTTTAAATTCCGATTTCACAATTTGCTACAAAAGAAGCAGGTGTTATACACTGCATCCTTTAGCCAGATATATTAAGAAATTTCAGCTGGGCAACTGTCATGACTAGAAATTGGGCAGTTGTGACTAGTGGTTGGAGAACTGACAGATTATGAAGATTACACTAACCCTTTGGCGGCGGGACTTTTGTTTGTAACCTTTTTGCTTTTGTTAGCTTGTTTGGTTTGTAATTAGAAAGATTAGGCCCTGCTAACAGACTGTACAGCCTATTGCTCTATTTTGTTTCTGCTTGATCATCCCATTAACCTATAAAAAGTAGCAAAAACCTGGTTCGCATACCAAGTCTTATATGTAGCCCAGCTCTTTGTTAGTTAATTTATTTTAAACTAGTTGGTCTCCTCCTGCTCTGATGGCAGCAGAAAATGTGATTGGATAGACACAGAACCAACCATGAAGAAATTAAATACAGTACTATAGTCCAGTATTTCTCAACCAGTGATACGGGGACCCTTAGGGGTAATACTCAAGAGAATTCTGGGAGTACGTCAACACAACTGAAATTCGGAGAAAACTGAATTTTTGTTTTAAGTTTTACAGCGTTTTATTATTTTTGTATTTTTTTTTACACCCAAAAATGTCATCGCCCGCCACGATTAAGTTGTTTAAACAAATGTGTTGCAATGATAGAAAAAAAATTGTGTGTCTGAAAACTGTAGGTACTGGGGGGGGAGGGGCTTGTAAATCTTTTTAAAGGATACTTTATAAAAAAAAAAAAGGATGAGAAACACTGCTATAGTTTAGTTGCTTTCTCACACACGCTCTCTCATATATTACCTGGATAGATATTGAGCCTTATGTGTGTCCATCTTTGCTTAGAACTGACAGAAAAATAATTGTGGCTAGTATCAAGGTATCCTGGTTTTAACTCTTTCATAGGAACCAGAAGAGTCCATTCATCTGACTTCACCTAATAACAAATATTAATTAATTAGTTGTCCAGATCAAAGTAAAGGATATTTTTTCTTTAGTCCATATGTTTATTAATTAGGACCGATATAGCCCAGTATATTCTGAAATATCTGAGTCCTTATTCTTCTACAGTGTACACCATACTTTTTAGAATTTCTTTATTAATTACCTGTGTTTTGCAGGTATGTTTGGTATGGTGTTGGCATTTTAAACCCCATAGATCAGCACTATATACATTACTAAAATAACTACTTTTGGTTTGAACTGTTGAAGAAATTTATCTCTCATCATAGACTGTTTGAAATAAATCAGCCATTTCTGAGGACTGACCATTCAAATAAAGGTGGGGTATTCTTTGATTAAGTGCATAGGGAAGTACTTTTTATTTTCCCAATTTTTCATTAAAACTCCTAACTAACTACATGGTGCTAATACAATGTTGAAGAGGAGCTTTAAATTGCAAAACAAAAAATTAAATAAAGAGTAAAGGGGCCATATTCTGCTCTTGGTTACATTTGATGTCAGTCTGAAGTAACTCCATTGATTTCAGAATAGTGACTTTGGATTTGCACTAGTATAAATTTAGTACATATTCCTAGAACAACCTGAAATTCATGTGTAATGCAGCATAGACTTGGTGAGTCTGGTTCTGCAATCCTTTCTTGGGCAAATATCCCATAGCTTTCAAGGGAGGAAGGATGAATGATCTTGTGATTAGGTGTCAGGAGCTTGAATTTTTATTCCCAGATCTTTCACAGACATCCTATGTGACCTTTAAGTCACCATTTTCAAGATGCCTTAAGTCTGGATACCCAACTTAAGATATTTAAAGTGTCTAAAGTATGACACCTAAAAACTGGGGTATCCAAATAAGGCCCCAAGTAAATAACAGATTCATTGGGACAAACTGGAATTAAATGAAGAAAAGTTTTGTAGAGTATAACTAAACTGCCATGTAGATTAGCTACTTCCCATTAGTGGCCTGTTTATTTTTTTTAATTAGTAAGGTGATTGAATTTGTGGCTCACTTTCAATTAATACTAATGTCTCATAGACTTCTCAGACTTATGCTGGACTGAAATTACATTGCTCAAAATAAACATATTCAATTAATTACAGGCAGTCCCCGGGTTACATGGATCCAACTTACATCGGATCCCTGCTTACAAACGCGGTGAGGCAACCCCACACTAGCTGCTTCCCCCCAGCAGACCAGGGAGACGCGAAGCTAGCGCCCCCTCCCCCCCCAGCAGACCAGGGAGATGCGAAGCTAGCGCCCCCCCACCCCAGCAGACCAGGGAGAGGTGGAGCGGCTTTTCTCAGCAGACACTTCAGCTTGAGAATAAAGGGCTGAGGGAAGTGAGGTGTGGGAGAATAAAACTGAGCTCTGGAGAAATGTTTGGCTAGAGTTTCCCCTACAATATGTACCAGTTCCGACTTACATACAAATTCAACTTAAGAACAAACCTACAGTCCCTATCTTGTACGTAACCCGGGGACTGCCTGTATTCTGAAATAGTGTCACAGTGTAGGTGTAGCTTAAGTAATTTGAGAACTCTTGAAAATAAAGGTGCCAGCCCTAGAAAATAAAGTCCTGTACCTAAAAGCAGAGATATAGCATAGGCACACAATCTTCCCTAGGCTGTCCAACAATTATGTCTCAA